CATGCAGACACCAGGCTCCTGGCCTGGCGATGGGGCTGCGCTGTGGGTCCGAGGGCTGGATCCCAGCCCTTGCCCGCTGGCACTGACTTGCTTTCCAGAAAATTTCACCTAAATACAAGGAAAAAAGGGGCCTGGCCAGCAGGAACGGGAACAGAAAGCCCGAGGTGGGAACCTCAGAGAAGGGGCAGTCCTTTTACTCCCCTATGCGGCCAAAGGAGGGGGGTGCCCCAGAGATGACCCTGAGCAGCCAGAAGTGTCTTCTACCCTCAGGGCTCTGCTGCCTCACAAGGGACGGACGGACGGATGGACAGAGAGCGGACAAGCCCCCTCCCCAGGATGCCCCAGCCCGACTCACCTGTCCGCTTGCTGCAGAGCCGGTCCTTGACGTTCTCAGCCTCGTGGGACAGGAATTCGATGAGTTCGTCCTCGTACTCCTCGGCAATGCTCTCACACTGCAACGGGAGCCCCGTGTCGGTCGCCTGGCTGCCTCCATGCCAGCGACCGCGCAGAGCCAGGCAAAGCTGACCAGCATCCAGGGGAACCCAGAGCCAGGCCCTGCACCCAGCACTCCCCACCTCAACAGGGGAGCAGAATCCCTCCCTTCCCAGCTCTGGAAAGGGTCAGGGGAGGTGGCCAGGAGCTGCCAGTGAGACCAGCTGCTTCATCCCAGAAGGACTGCGGCTGCCAAACCCAGTGGGCCTGGTTACCTAAAGCCTCCCTGGAGCCCCAACAGACACTGCACAGGGCACGCTCCCCGCACATACCGCAAACTTCAGACTAGAAGCCACATCCCCATCGATTTTGACCCCGGAGAGGTCCATCTTGGTCCCATCATGGGAGATCACGCGGACATAAGTCTTCCGGTGTGTGGATGGATCCACTTTCTCCCCGTATTCCTTCATCTTCTCGCACACCCGCTCCAGCAGTTCTGTCAGATGCGCCTCTGACCGGGCATAGGGCACCTGCGGCACAAGGATAAGATAAGCAGGAAACACTAGTCCAACCCCTCCCTAACCTCCCCGAGCCTTTACCACGCAGCTGCTATTCTGGTCAGGCCTTGCTAACAGCCAACTCCCTCTTCTTCCGCAGCCTCGGCCTGAAACCACCCCCCCCCCCCGAGCCAGAAGCACCCCTCAACTGGGAGACGCCTCACCTCCACGACTGACTGGCTGCCGTCAGGGTTGATTCGGAACGAGCCCATCTGGATGGTTTTCTTGGGGTCAACCTGGGCGATTTCCCACTCCAGCTCATCCACCAAGGCCCGGCATGCTGCAGACAACGGAGAAGTCACTGGCTTGGAGCGCTAAGGACAATTAACTGACCCTGAACTTTAGCCCACGATGCTGACAAGCCCCGCGGCTGCTCAGATCTGCTAGAAAGAACTAGAATTGCTGGAAAGCA